AAAGACGAACTTGGAGAACAGTTACAAAAATTATACTATGTTTTCCAGTTTGTGATTGTTAAAAACTTTCATAATAAAAATTTTTAAGTGCTTTGTATTTATTATCATAAAAAAAAAAAAGAAAACATGTCCTGAGTAAGTGAGGAGAAATATAAAGTATCACCAAATACAGAGGAGACTGGGTTATGGAGACTATCCAGAAAGATGAGCCCTCTTGCCCTTCAAGTCCCAAAAGAAGGTAAGCATTAAAGCTTATGGACTATCCCTAAGCATCAAATCACCATACACTCCATACTGAAGATGCAATCCATTTTGAAGGCTGCATTTCTTGATTTTCTGCAACAAGTGCTTCAAGTACTCCTCACTTTTAGCAAGCAAGGTTGTATTGCGTGCATAACGCGGGTAATTGATAAGTCTCCCTCCCTTGATGAGTCTTTTTTTTAAAAAAAAATTGTTTTTTAATTTTTTATTATTTTGTGTGCATGTACCGTTAAATCAGATGTGACTGGTACAGGAGGAGATTTTCCCCTCCTTCCCCAGCAGAGCATCTGGTGGATTCAAACTGTGAACCTCTAGGATTGCAGTGCAGGGTTCTTGCCAATAGGCCACCAGAGCTCCCTGATAAGTCCTTTTTTAAAAGACACAAACAATGACTTTATATATGGACCTCACCTGATGGGTTGCATAGGAATCAGACTGACTACATCTGTGGAAGAAATCACTGGAGAAGCTCAATATTGGTAGTCAAAACTAGGCCAGGGGAGGACTGTGAGTCAGAACATCAATTATTCATATGCAAGTTCAAATTAAAGCTGAAGAAAATAAAAAGAAGTCCATGAGAACCAAGATATGATCTTGAAACTATTCCATCTGAATTTCAAAACTGTAGATCTGAGGCTGGTTTGAATCCACTAGATGCTACGCTGGAGAAGGAGAAGCAATCTTTCTGTACCAGTCGGATCCGATTTGAAGGTACACAACAAGATAAAACAAAAGAACAGATCTGAGGCATTGCATTGAACATCAAAGATCAAAGACTGGATGAGTTGTGCAATGATAATCAAAAGGTCATTACAAATACAGAGAAGAAAGAAAGAACTGAAATGGATGTGAGAAGAGAGTCTAAAAATTGTACTAGTGTATCAAGAAGTCAAAACAAAGGAGGGGGCAATCTCCTCTTGTACCAGTCAGATCTGGTTTGACGGTACACGTAAAAATAATAAAAATAAAAAAAAGAAGAAGAAGGCAAAACAAAGGGAAAGCATGCTGAAGTAAAAGTTGAACAGAAGATTTCAAAGGGCAGCTTGAGAAGACAAGCAAAACAGTGTAATGGAATGTATAGAGCTGGAATTAGCGCATAAAAAGGGAAAAACTACTGAAAACCAAATTTAAGCCTGTAGTTGCAATACTGAAAGATGCTATGGGCAATATATTGATGATCCACAAAGCATCAAAAGCTGTACCAAAAAGAACTGACTGACACCGAAAAATTTCAGGAAGTACCATATGAGAAGGAGCCCATGGTAATGAAGAAGGAAGTGGAAGCTGCATTGAAGGCACTGGCAAAAAAAAAAAGACACAATGCCCCAGGAATTGATGTGATATCAATTGATTTGTTTTAATTAATAAATGCAGCCCTGGATGCACTCACCAGTCTATGCTAGGAATTCTGACGGACATATACCTGGTCAACGGATTGGAAGAGGTCCTTGTCTCAAGAAAGGTGATACAACAGAATGTGGAAAACTATAAAAGAATATTACTAATATCACATGCAAAGAAAATGCTGCTGAAGATCATTTTAAAATGGCTAGAACAGTAAATAGGGAACTACCAGAAGTTCAAGCAGGATTCAGGAGATGCTGTGGCATCAGGGATATCACTGCTGATGTCAAATGGATCCTAGCTAAAAGTAAAAGATACCAAAAGAATGTCTATTTGTTCTTTATTGACTATGCAAAGGCATTTTGACTGTGTGGATCATAACAAGTTACGGCAAACATTGAGAAGGGGAATCCCAGAGCACTTGATTGTGCTCATGTGAAACCTGTATCTAGACCAGGGAACTTGTATGCGAACAGAGCAAGAGAACACTATACGGATGGCACTATGGTGAGTGAAATATCTCAGTAACAAAAGGACAAATATTGCATAATATACCACTGTTATAAAATAGAACTGACAAGGGGAGTTGAGAGGAGAACAGGAAAACGATGGATAGATAATGAACACTGCATTGGAACAGATGAGGGAAAGAATGGTCCAAAAGGAAAATATCATTAGGTATTGTAAGTATGACAACAATCTGGAACAACAGGTGCTTTGCAAAGTGGACTGGGTGGGAGAGGGGGTAGGGAGGAGGGAAGAAAATGTGCAATAATGAATAAATTTTTAAAGTTTATGGACTATCTACACATTTATATTGAGCATTTCAATATCTGAACTGATAATACTCATTAAGTTTTCCTCTTCAACTCTGTCCCATAGTTCCCTTGTCTAAGGAAACTACTATTATTAACTGCATCCGTATCTTCTAGAGATAGTCTAGAAAAATAAAGAGAGAGATATTATATGTATTTACAGAGATCTCTGGAGGCCTGGTGGTTAAAAAATTGCAGTGCCAACACAAAGGCATGTGGTTCAATTTCATCATCTCATTCTCAAGAGAAAGATGGATAATCTCCTTTTGTGCAATTTACAGTCTATGAAAATCTGCTGTTGGGTCAGCTCTGAGTCCATTTGGACTTGATGGTATATAACAACAACAACAACATTATAAATATAATTATATATTTACTATACTCTATTGGTATATACAATTAAACAGTAAACTGCTAAGTAAAAGGCTGACAGTTCAAATTCACCCAGCAGAATTGAGGCCTGGCAAGCTGCTCGAGTCAAGATCATAGCCTAGAAAACCTTATGGGGCAGTTTCACTTTGTAACATGCAGGCTGAATGATCTGAAATTACTTGATAGCATCTAATAGCCAGGTTTTTGTTCCCTTAACAATAGTCAGAGAACTTTCCATTATCAGTGTTACTTCAGAGCTATCTCATTCTTTTTAATTAAGGAATTATATATTCATAGACATTTAACTTGATTCTCTTCTTTTGATTAAAATAATGCTGCAATGATTATCCCTTTAAATCTGCAGGCTCTGGAAATAAACACTTAAAAGTATTGTTGTTGATGTTGATTGCCGTTGAGTTGATGGCCACTCATATGCACAAAAACCCTGAAGTCTTCTATAACTATCGCTGTTCAAGTTCATAGAGTTTCCACAAGCATGAAGTTTAGGAAGTGGATGCCACTCCTGCTTTGATACCTGTCTTAAACTGTCTTAAAAAATTAGTATGCAAATTGAGTTATGATTGAAAACTTAATTTTTTTTTAAAACTTAAATTTTGACTTTTAACTTAAGTTACTCATACTCTTATTAAAAGTGAGTGTTTTTACTTCCTCACTCTTATCAAGTTAAGACAGGTATTAAAAAGCTAGTTAATATTTGTAAACTGATGGATTATAACTAGCAATTACTTTATGAGGATTAAAATTCTAGAATTCGTTCAGTTCTACTTATTATAATTGAATTCAAGATTACAATATTATCTTAAATAACAAGTATGGTCTATATTAGATTACAATATTGTCTTAAATAACAAGTATGGTCTATATTTGGAAACAATACAACTTAAGAGTAATTTATCAACAAAGTATAATGTGACAATTACAGGTCAAGTTAATTTCTCAGACAAGGATCTTTAATATCAAGACTTACCCCAAATAAATGAATGAAAAAAAGAATAGCAACAGTAGGGATGAAATAATAAGCCAGCCATGGATAACCTAGGAAAAAAAAGAAAAGAGTATTGTATAATTAACAGATCCACAAAAGTAAAAAAATTTTCCACAGTATCCAGGAGCCTCAATCTAGAAGTATATAGTACTGACCTACCACTACCAGGTTGTCTAATCAGGAAGGTGCTGGAAAGGGAAAGAGAAAATATAAAATTATATTAGATATTTATATATTTATATCCAGAAAGCTGGGCTGTATAAGAATTGTGGCACTGGGACTGAAGGAAGATTCATCAACAATTGGCGTTACGCTGATGACACAACCCAGCTTGCCGAAACTGAGTATCTCACTACTGGGCCAACTGGCAGCATCAGGATGGATGGTGAAGAGATTGAGATTGTTCACAGTTTTAGTTTGCTTGACTCCACAGTCAACACTCTTGGCACTGGTAGCCAGGAAATTAAAAGACGTATTGCGATGGGAAAGTCTGCTGTTAGAGCCCTCTCTAAAGTACTGAAGAGCAATGATGTCACTCTGGAGACTAAGGTGTGCCTGATACAGGCCATGGTCTTTGCAATCACTTGCTATGCATCAGAAAGTTGGACAATGACTAGGGATGATAGAAGGAGAATTGATGCCTTTGAGCTGTGGTGTTGGAGAAGAGTATTGAATATACCATAAACTGCTAAGACTACGAACACATAGGGCTGCTCCTTGGAGGCAAGAATTCTGAAGTTTCATTTGACATACTTCGGATATGTTGCAAAGAGGGACCAATCCTTGGAGAGGGAAGTCATGCTTGGGAGGGTGGAGGGACAGCACAGGAGAGGAAGGACCTCTATGAGGAGGACTGATTCAGTGACTGGGGTAGTCAGGGTAGGTATGCTGGAGACAGTGAGATTGACAAAGAATAGGCTCGCTATGAGTTGCAGGCGAGCTGATGGCACATAACAACAACTCTAATCCGTGGCCCTTGGGTAAGTTCTTAACTGTTTTTGGTCAAACATTCTTGTAGGTTGTATAACCCTGGTGTGTCCACCTGCCGTACAGAGGCAACTTGTGGTTGCGGTGAAGCTGAACGCTGTGCCACCGATTTGTCAAATGCGATAATGGTTACCCATGGTGGACAGCGTTTGGTGGGACGCCCCAGTTAAAACAAGCTTGGAAGCAGGAGTGGCATCCAGTTCCATAATAGCTTGCCTCTAGAAGCCCTATGAACCTGGTGAAAGGATGAAAGTCACACAAGGGTCAAGGACTTTGGTTCACAGGGTCGCTATGAGTCACCTACAATGTGACAGCACTTAACAACAATAACAATATGTGTGTGTGTCTGTGTGTCTGTGTGTGTAGGGGTGCGCGCGCGCGTGTGTATGAATACATATTCTCCCTACGTGGCTAGTAGAATCTTTGAGATTATGATCCTTATATAACCTTCAAGCCTTAATGTGAACCTGTTGTCAAGGTCTACTTTCAGCCAAACAAAAAGGAGGACTAAAAAGAGAGTAAGAACACTGGGGAAGTGTGTACTCCTCAGTGCAATCAACCCCGTGAGACCTGCATCTGTCCAATAACAGAGCTCAGAGGCAGGAAGGGGCAGAACAAAGAGGACAAATGCAAACGAGGAACCCACAGGAGAGGGGGAAGAATGCTGTTACATTGTGGGGATCACAAACAATGCCATGAAATAAAAGGCATATAAATTGCTGAATGGAAAACAAATTTGTTCCTGAAACATTCACTCAAACTACAATTTAAAAGAAAAAAATTTATTACAAAAATAGTCTATCTGTAATGTTATGTTTTTCAAACAGCAGGACTGAGGGGGAAAAGTGGCTTTGGTATCAAGGCATACTTGAATGAACACTTTGTATTCATAACATAGAACAGAAAACACAACAGAACATGGGTCCCCATTCCTTTGTAAATTTGTAAAATTTTTCTGCACTCCTCTGGACTTGAGTGGGAAGACTGGAGGAATCTCCACATCTTGATGATGAGGGACTGCTGGCAAGAGGAACCGGCAAGCCACTATAACCCATGGGGTACAAGGCATACAGCACTGGTTCTGAAATCCTCATCTTCTGATAGAAACAGGTGCTATAAACAAGGAATTATGAAAAATGCTGGATACCTCAAATGTTTTGATGATTTAATTATTTTTCTATTATTAAACTATAAGCTATCCACCACAACAAGATAAAGGTAAACAACCCGACTGAAAAATGGGCACAGGATATGAACACTTCACCAAAGAAGACATTCAGATGGCAAACAAACACATGGAGAAATGTTCAAAATCCCCAGTTCTGAGAGAGATACAAATCAAAACAACTATAAGATACCATTTTATCCCAGTAAGAATAGCAAAATTCAACAGAGAAGCAAATAACAAATGCTGGAAAAGTTGTGAAGAAACTGGAACCCTTATTCACTGTTGGTGGAAGTGTAAAATGGCGCAACCACTCTGGAAGGCAATAGGGCGCTTTCTCAAAAATTTGCAAATAGAGATACCATTTGACTCAGCAGTTCCACTACTGAGAATACACCATAAAGAAACCAGAACTGTCATCCAAGCAGATATATGCACACCCATGTTTAATGGTGTGTTTTTCACAATAGTGAAGAGATGGAAACAACCCAAGTGCCCATCAACAAACAAATGGATAGCGAAGCTGTGGTATATTCACACAATGGAATATATGCAGCACTGAAAAATAAGGAACTTATGAAATATTCTAAAAAATGGATGACCCTGGAGGACATAATGCTGACTGAAATATCTCAGTCACAAAAGAACAAATACTACATAATGCCAATGTTATAAAACAAGACGGATACTGGGGTGGGAGGAAACTTAAGAGTGGATAAATAATGGACACTGCATTGAAACAAATGGGAGAAAGAACTGCTTAAAAGGAATATATGATTAGGTATTATTGGAATGACAACAGTCCAGAATAAGAATTGTATAGTAAAGTGGACTGGGATGGGGTGGGAAATTGCATAACAATGACATTTTTCCCCCCCAAGAGAAAAGCCAACTGGGGGTGGTGGGGTAGGCAGGGAGGAAAATGTGCAACAATGAATGAATGGAAATTCAAGTTCTCTAGAAACTCTCATTAAACTATCAATTAAAAAATAAAGAAAAAGAGAAGGGGAAAAAAACCCACCAAAAAACCTGTAAGCTATCAATTTCTTGTCACAGAACTCGTATGGTTTTAAATGATCTTAGACACTTCAAAAAAATCTTAGAAGAATGTCTATACATCATTAAGGAGGATGTTAAGCTTATCAATAAAAGAAACAGAATCAATCTTGTTTTAGCAACCCTCTCACAAGATTCATTTTTAATGGTAATTTTATATGTTGAGTATATATTTTGGGGAGAATTTACCTCCTTCAATACAAATTTGTACTTCCGTCAGTCCATGTCAATCAATATTGTTCTCCATCACCATGATTCAAATATATCAATTTTTCTTTTGGTCTTCATCATCCATTGTCTAGATTATACACGCAAAGTTAAGTGACCAAAAACATCATGATTATAAGTCAGGCATACCTCAGTCTACAAGATGATATCCTTAGTTTTGAATAATTTAAAGAAAGGTTTGGGGGCAGAAAATGTGGCCACTCTGTAACATCTATAAATTCTTGACTGCTGCTTCAATGGGCACGGATGTAGACTCAGAAAAATTAAATCCTTGACAACTTCAATCTTTTATCCACTTATCATAATGCTGCTTTTTGGTCCAGCTTGAGGTATTTAATTTTCTTAATGTTGAGGGGTAATCTATAATGAAGGCTTTAACATTTTTTTTTTTTTTTACTTTCATCAGTAAGTGCTTTAAGTCCTCTTAGGCTTCAGCAAGCCATCATGACATTTGAGTATCCCAGTTTGTTAACAAGACTTCCTCTAATCCTGATTCAACATCCTCCTTCACACAGACTATTTTCTTGGCTTAATTTTTCAGTATGCAGGTTAAATAACTACACTGCAAGGCCAAAACACTGACTGTACAACTTTCTTGACTTAAAACAATGCAGTATCCTCTTCTGTTTAATCTCATAAATTGCTTTATGTAGTTTCCACATAAGAACAAGTAAATGTTCCTGAATTTTCATTGTTCGCAATGTAATCTATAATTCATTATGATTCACACAGTTGAATTCCTTTGGAGAGTCAATAAAACAATAACTCTGGTAGTCTCTTGTTTCATTCAAGAACCACCTGACATCAGCCATGATAATCGTTATTCTACATTCTCTTCTGAACTCAGCTTGAATATCTGGCAGTTCCTTGTGGATGTTTTTGGTTTTTGTTTTTTTTTTATGGTGAGAAAAATGTATATTTAGAATTAACCCGCTGGACTCAGTTTAGATGATCCCAATTTTGTTGACAACACTGTGGATGTATTTCAACAGCCAATTTTTTCCCCTTAAATATTCCTACACACACTTTCCTTCATTGAAATTATGTTTCATAAACTCACGCCCACTTTGTTTCATGAAATTAATCACCACTGGACTATGCTACTATTACCCGGTCTTTTCAGGTCACTTCTGGATCTTTCCTATTTCCTTCACTCCCCCCATCCCCCACCAAATTGTGCAACCCTGTGATTTTGCCCTATCCATCCTCACCCCTTTGCTCCCAAGCTACAGCCACTTTTAAATTACTTTCACCAAAATTTTACTTGCATGTTATACTAGAGATATTGTTCAATAATTTCTGCATTCTTTCTTTGGAAAAGGCACAAATATTGATGTCTTCATATATGTTCAGGCCAGTAGCTGTCTTTCAAGTTTCTTGGCATAGATGTGTTGATTTGCTGAAATAGTTCAACCAGTATTTCATCAATTCCTAGAGTCTTTCTTCCCCCATCCAAAAAAAAAACCCCAAAAAAACCTTCAGTGTATCTTGGACTTCTTCCTTCTATATTCTTTTATCATATAGTATCTTCTGATAATTCTTTTAGGTACAGTTACTCTATGTATCCCTTCAATTTTCTTTTGATGCTTCTTAAGTCATTCATTAGGGAAATCT